TAGGATACCTAAATGCTATTTAACCAAACGATATTCATTTTAGGGCAAATTTATCCATATTATAACTGAAACTATATGTCGTTTATAAGAAATATAATTGCACTTTTGTGATTAGCCCTCGGTCTGTAACGTGCAAAATAAATTGTCAAATACGCAACTTTTTCGGGGTGGCAGCACGGTCGTGGGTGACATGGCGCCGTTCAAATTTCGTAGCGTTGATGTGTAATTAATTATAACAATTAAATTAGGTATCTGCCATCTGGTAACAAATACGTGTGGGTATAGACGATTTGTTATACAGTAAGTACAGTTGTATGCACTGCAGTAAAATCCTAGAGTCTACTATCCCTTTAAGATTTAGCTGTGTGCCAACACTACATTATTTTCTGACCTTTCCATAATTTACGTATTGATCCACGCCAGCGATTTTGTATGCATCCACCGGGTTCCGAATAAAACAATATTGTATTAATACAGATTGCAGCTCTTGATGGTTATAAAATGTAAGGTAGTGTACGAAATTAATCATATTTACTTGATGGATCAACTAACAGACATCTGCTGTGTATATATGACACCATGTATTTTGACAATTTGTAAAAGTTGTTTGTGTAATTTAGGGGCATAAGGACTTGATGCCACTAGTGTTATAAAAGTATATCAACAGCAAACTTGTTTACTTGGTCTAGGGCACGAGTTAGGTTCTGTTGACCTCTGTTTGGGAAGAGAACAATTTCTAAGTGTGTGTGCACCTGTGCACCTAACAAATCATTCATAATCAAATGCTGCACCCTGCATCAAAATTGTATATTTCTGCATTATTTATTTACGGGTATTGTATTGTAGAGTTGTAACGGTTTCTTCCCTACTGTTTTCAAACATCGGCCCTGGGTTAGTTATTACTTAGGGTTGGTCGGCACTCGTAAACCTAGCTAAAATCAATTAGGTGATTGCAGTGTCCAGTTGCGGTCGTCTAAGCTGCCAAGATGTGATTAGCAGAGATACAAGATTGCTATACCTTCCTAGCTACTTCTAGCTTCCCGTTGCAGAGCAAAGAGTTGCTCAAGTAGAGCTACGATACTTGCTTACTAAGAGTTCCTAGGTGGTCGCCATGCAATAGCTCTACTTGCGTAGCTTTTTGCTGTGCAATCTGTTGTAAAGGGAATGGCTACACAGCCAGAGCTAGCCGTTCAAGATATTAGACTGCAAAGATGATTTGTATCGGAAAGCAACGCAAAAAGCTTCCTACCCTGTTTACCTATTAGCATGTACAGTTACGTAACAAGTACACACATGCAACTGCAGCTTTAACATGTACTCTTAATCCCCTCCCCCCAACACTTGCCGTAGATTTGTATACAAGTCGCATTTTCCTTGTGATGGTGCATAAGCTCCTTTGCTACACTCCCCTTGCCCTGCTGGTGGTGAGAATTAAGAGCATGGGAATAAAAGTCGATGCCTTGTTTCTTTGCAGATAAGCTTCCGTATTCGATCAGGATTCTTCTCGAATCTGCTGTCAGAAACTGTGACAATTTTCAGGTATGGAATTTGTGCTTGGAATGGTGAATGACTTATGTTGGTGACGTTTCATAGTAGACTTCTAATAGCATTTAATAGTAGTTGTTCAAGCCAGATGAAACATCCGTCTTGTAAAACTGCTATAGATACGGTTACCTGAAATGTGTTGACTATCCTATGTCAACATGTACTTGTAGGGGGCTGTATGTATTTACACAGGTCTACATGCACAATATAGGCATGTATATATAGCTATTTGATTACAGGTAGGTTCCTACTAGTACATATAGGTGATAAGGTTCATTTGGTATCACTTACTTTGAACTCGGTTTGGTTTCTTCAGAAATAAGTGATGTTCTGGATAAAAATAGGCCGTGGCTACGCGTCTGGTTACCGGACGCCCAGCTCCCAGGCTACGCGTCCGGACAATATTTTTCTTATGTAAACCCAACTATATTTTTTTTAGTAAAAAACAATGAACAATAAGTTTTTACCATAATATTACTTACATTTAGGTATTTTATAAAAAAAAGAAGTTTTTGTAACTTCTGAAGCAATAGTAAATCCAGTAAAAAAAAACGATTTGGAAAAATTTGACGTGGCCTAATCGTGACGTGGATTTGGGAATCTGTGCTGAGCTTTGTAATGGACATGGATGACCGGACGCGTAGCCATTGCGATACAAATATTTGTCTCGTTTTAAAGCCAAGTTGCCGTAGCATGTGAATGTTTCATAACTGTTGTTATAACAGGCCGTTATATATACCAGTTCAGTGAATGATGTCAGTATTTGTGTTATCAATAAGCATTGCATGTTAGTGTTGGCAGTCACGCTCGTGCATGCTGTCGTGTGGTGCGTGTGTACATGGTATGGGTGTGCATGCCTACATGTTTGTGTGTGGGAGCGTGTGTTTATGTCAAAGCTGTGAAATGTTTACATGTCTGTCACTGTAGTAGTATTTGTCGGTGTCTTGTTTGAATGCATTTGATTCTGACCACTTTTTTATGCCCCCCAGTGTTTGTTCAATGTGTGTTGTTTGAATTTGTATCAGGTAACAGAAGCAAACGTTCAGAGCCTGTTAAACTGGAGCACAACTCAACATGAAAGTGTGGAAGTCCCGTTCAAGCCTGCCCGAGTTATCCTTCAGGATTTCACGTGAGTCTAAAAAACACAAGATTTAAAACAAATGCCAGTTATAGTTGCTTTCATTCTGTGACTACTACTGCAAGAGGCGTGCAAAAAGTAGTGATGTCACGATCATCGATTATACTCGATCATCGGTTGAACAGTCCCTCGAACCAAGCGCTTGGTTATCAAAATCCATAATCGATTTCATCGCAAAAAAAATCGAAATAAATGTAAAACTTGAAAAAGAAAACATGGAAAATTGATGAGAATCAGCGATATCATCGCTATTTTAGTTCGGGAATCGCCCGACATTCGTCGTAGTTACTTCTTGTTGAGGGGCTAAAGCCTAGGACACACTAGGGATTTTATACGCTGGCTAAACAAGCACATATACATGCACACACGTACATGCACACGACGTTACGCACACGCAGGCATTCAACACCCCGAGTAACCGATTGTAACCGATCATCGGTTACTTGGGTTCAACCGATGATCGATTACGAAATTACAACCGATTGACAACACTAGCAAAAAGTCTCCGTTATAAACAGCTGTCCATTCGACAGAGGTGACCACCACAGGTTAAAGCCATAATTACGAGAATTCTCCACTTTTTTTTGTTTTCCCCACTTTCATGATACCTACCATTATTGCTTGAGTAACAGCAATTTTCTAGACTCTAGAGTAATGATAAAATGTCTTAGAACCTTTGTATTCACAAAAACATGCACCACAACGGGTTAAGAGTCTATACCAATTCTCGTAGGAGGGGGAAAGTTGCGATGGCTTCTTGGTTGACCGCTGTGGTGGGTTTCGATTGCAGCGGCGTGCCCGCGGTGGTCGACTTTGCAGCGATGCGCGACGCCGTCAAACGTCTGGGAGGCGACCCTCAGAAGATCAACCCGATCTCTCCCGCTGACCTTGTCATCGATCACTCGGTGCAGGTGGACGTTGCTAGGAGGTAGGTGCTCGTCGTTGATGGTAAGGTACTCGCGGCCCGTTAGTTTTGCCTGCCCCTGTTATATCCATAGGTGTGGGAGTGCGGCTGGTCTTGGTTGTGATTGTTTTGCGATTGGTGCATTTTGCCTAATTGATGTGCATTCTCGAACGTCAAAATAACACTTGCAAAAACGAGCTTTTGAGTTCTTTTGGTCGATTCATGTCAGTTTGAAAAACTTTGTAGTGAGTGTTGAGTGTTATTTTGCTTTTGTCAGTGACACTATTAATTAGTGTTAAAAACGTTACCATCTTAAACTAATTGTTGTTGGAAATCTAGTAAGTCTGCTTTTAACATGCTTGCTGGTTGCACATGTTGCCATGGTGACAGTTTTCCTGCTTCATGCTTGTTCTCTTGGTAAATGATATTTGAGTAAATTATTGGGAGCTATTAGTCCTCACACCTAAGACATATCCCAGACACGTGCGTATGTATGTTTGTGTGTGTGTATATATATATATATATATATATACACATATAGAGAGAGACACAGTAAGATGTAGGCCCAAAACACGTAGACTGAACTTTGTTAGCGTTAATGTTATCTGTATTGTATCTCAGATAACATGTTTGACAGGCATTGACGTAGGCTTAGATCTTGTTTCTAATGTAGCTGATTGCATCGTAAACTGATTTGTTACGTGGGTAGCGTAGGAATCGCATGTTTAATGCGCATATGATACATGCTGGCATGCGTTCGTTTTTCGTACTTGACGTGTTACCAAGAGATGAGCCCGTTTGAGATGTGCAAATTTGGTATGGTACAGAGTGCCATTGCTTGCTTTTATTAACAAATATTTAGTCAGAATTATTGTGCTAACAACAGTGGAACTTATTTTAAACATATTAACTTTCAAGAAGTGACTAAAGGCTAACTTAGGTCGTACCCATACTGCAGGTACTCCGTCGCCCTTTAGACCTAGTTGCCGACAAAATTTGAAGATCGTATGTCAAAAACCGGCCAGATCGCCAATAAAAACATCGGCGACTAAACTCGACATGAGTTCTCTTACGATCGAAAATACGGTCGCCGACTGCGATCGCAGGAATAGAAACGGTTCTATTTCTATCCGGCGGTCGGCGACAAATCGTGAGTGGCAGCCAATCACTGCTACGTGTCGAGTCACATGATTATCAAAAGTTACGTGATTAACAAAATGGCAGCCTACACAGCAGTTTACAAAGAGGGATTATTGCACAAACCCTTTCTCAGATTTAATATTCACGATGAAACATGCCAAATATGAGTCAAATTTACTGAAAATCTGATCGAAATTACACGTACTGATAGCGTATGCTGCAACGTTAGTGGCATGGTTGTTTATAACAGAAGTTAACGCGAATGCGTGCGTAGTTTCAGCATACCGGAAGTAACTCTTCGCTCGTTCGAGTAACTTGGAATGCCTGCAGATGACGCATGTATCAAACGAGGGCAAACATGCGTTTGTTTAAGTTTAGTTTTGTATAAAAAAAGGACCCACTGTTACCAAACGATCTATTAGCCAAACAAACGTTACATATTTGGACGTTCCAAATCTTTCATCAGACCTTCCAAAAATATTGCTGAAAACTCCCGGACCTGCGAGCAAAAACCATTATTTTCAGCCTCTGACTAGGGATAAACTAATGTGCTCCTACTATTTCGTAACGAAATCGGGCTAGGAAATATCACAGAGACATTTGGAGAGCAACACTGTTATCCTACTGTAATCTGAGAATGTCATGTAGTTTGTACGTATAGTGAGTAACTGAGTAGGTCTGAGTACTTACAGTTGATGTAATAGAACCTACGTAGAACCAATATAGTTGAAATCTATCGCTGTGGAATCTTGTCGTTGCATTGTGAATTGTGAAATTGTGTCGCAGCAATGATGAGCATTGTCCACGCTTTCTTTCTGGTTAAATGCAATTAAATTTCGAGCCGTACGCACTCGGGAGCACGTGGCGTGAAGGTTACTGTTGTCACTCTTTCCAGGAATGTATGTGTGTTTGCCCAGGCGCAGACAGGGCACGGTTGTGCTACATTTTAGGTTGTCTTGTGGCGGCTAACGCTCCATTAGGAGTGTTCCCAATTTTGATATGATTAATGATTAATGATTAATGATTAATGATTGATAATCCTAACCCTAACCCTAACCCTAACCCTAACAACATTAAACCAAAAACTAATATATGACCAATATATATGTATGTATATATATGTTATTGTGACCATTAATGACATTAAAGTTTGGAACACTCCTAATGGAGTATCACCCCCATGTGGGCTGCCTGACACGGCCGATCTGTCTCATTCTTGTTCTCAGCGTTGTAGGAAGAAGCATTTCATTCACAGCTCATCGTTTGTTGCCTGAATTGCGGTCGAAATTACGAAGAACAAAAAAAATTCTCCAGAAAAGTAGCAGCCAAAGTCAACCTTTCCATAGAGGTTTTATGTTTTACGCGACATAAGAATAGCATGGTTAGACAACATAGCAGCAAAATAATGTGTGAATACGTTATAAAATGTAGTGTTTTTTTCCCAATTTTTTCCCACCCGTAAAGTGGATAGTTACTTTTAGTTTTTCGTTTGTCCGAAGCACATGCGCGCCTGTCCCAGAAAGGTGGATTCGTGTTAATTTTGACGCCCCCTGCTGAATGTTTGATGTGGGGTGTGTGTATGTTTATTTTTGTAGTTTATATCGGAATCTGCCGAACCCGGGCGGGGGTGGTGGTGGGCCGCGGACTCTCCCTAGCGGTGTCGGGACCGGCCGGACTCCACACGGTGTGCGAAGTCACCCGTACCGCAGCCAGCACGGCGCTGGCCAAATCGTCCGTTCTCAATCTCAAACAACCGCACAAAAACCTGTTTGCCAAATTTGCATAAACTCTGGGTTTCCGCAGACATCCGACGTGTGCCCGTTTCATGGCCTCAAGTCCGGATGGTTAGTACCTGTGTAGTAGCAGTGTTCCTAATTTTCGTTTTTGTTTCCTGTTAGTTAGCATTTTTTTGTGCTGCATGTTGTTTTTTTGTTGTTCACTTTTCGGTTTATCGTAGATAGGGTTGTTTTGCTTTCGCTATGTTTGATCAGGCTCGTATTTTTTCCTGACGATGTAGTGGTAGTACAGTATATCGTTTCTTCTACAGTAATGAAGCCCATCTCCTGCTGCCAGAGATTGCATGCATAGCAGCTGGCAGTCAGTCAATAAATGTAATGGCTTTTCCCGCTTTTTCCATTTTCCTTCGCGTTTTTTTTGAGCATCTCAGTATCTTGATTTCATTTTGGACGCATCCACCGGCAGCCTTTCCGGTGTAATTGACTTGACTTGTACAATCGCTGCTTCGAGTGTCAATTTACTCGCCTTATTTACTTTGCTATCTACAGACAATAACTAACATAGTCACGGGTGTAGCTTCATTCGTTAGCAAAGCCATGCAGAGAAGTCAGTTAGCGGTGAACGTGCTTAATCATACATAGATGCTTTCATCGATCATTCGGTGATGCTGATGGAGCTGTTTACAGCTAACGGTAATGTAGGCTTTTAACGCAGATAAAATCGGCTTGTTTCTAGAAAGAAGGCTGCTGCTGGATACAGCGTTTCGAGTGCATGTGCTTTTGCTTCTGTGAATGGCTACATTTTTCATGTGGCTGCTTCCTTTTTTTGGCTGTTTAAATTTTTTATTTGCGTTCTTAGTTTGCAGTTTGCTCTTCACTAACACTCACAATGTGCAAAGTACACAAGTAGACCACGATAGATATTTAAAATGTATATAGAAACTGTTCCAACGAACTTGTTCTATATACTTCGTAGTTTCCCATCTACTGGCATCTTTTAAACAAAACCTGCACCATTTTAATAATATATATGATGTACATATATGTAGCAAAGAGTGTGGCAAGTACTGTATTGAATTAATTCAACTGTTTAAGGTCCAACCAATTACAAAATAGTAATTGGCAAGTTGATGATATTTCAGCCGGCACAGCCCTCCAGGCCACAGCAAAAGAAATCATATGGCTGCCATGTTTTTTATTTAACTTTTGTAAGGTATCATAAATGTAATCATTAATTTATATACTAATATAAATTGGGGGGGGGGATTCACATTGAGAATTTGATAGTCAGTTCTATCTTATATTCTTTGTATTTACTGTTAACCTTTATAGTTGGCATTCAGTACGGATATAATTTAATGATTAAAAGGCCTAAGCCAACATGTTTCAGAATCCCTTGCTAATTAGCATCATTTATGCTGTATGACAATGCTGTCTTGTGAAAAAATTCAAATTCCATATGCTGAGTGCATAGAATGAATACCTAGAGGTGTAACCATATTGTGCTATGGCAGATCTTTACAATGACTAGTTTCTTAGCAGCACTATCCTGTAGTAGTAGTGCACTATTCGTCTTTTGCAGTCCAGTCATATTTAAGGTGGTATTGGGTCTGTAAAGCTGGGTAACTGCTTACCAATTGCTTCTGCCATCATTACTTACCTATTGTATTTGCCTGTTTTGTTGTTTATTTTTAGCTAATGTTGTAATGTTTGTTGTGTATGTAAGCATCGCTTTCTCTCTGTCTCTCTCACTTTAGTGCGGATGCGCTTGAGAAGAATCAAGAGCTAGAGTTTGAGCGAAACCAGGAGAGATTTCTATTCCTAAAGGTGAGAGGACAGTCTGATAATGCGGCAGTGACGCATTGAAGTGTCTATACATCACAATAATCCCCTAATTCCCTTGCCGCGATTATTTTGACTAATATTGGCGACTGATCACGGCTGTGCTGTTATCTCAGATTATAAGTTGTTTGCTCTACCGGAAAACGTTCACAAAAAAGTAAATGACGAGTGCATGGTGACCATCCTTGGCTATGCAGGTCAGTGCTTGTACAGTGTAGCATCAGTATGCAGTCAAAGCATTCTTGGTGTTGATGGGATCCTGTGTCACAACGTGCAAGGGGTGCGATTTAGTGTAAATTCAGACTGCCGTTAAACATGTTAAAGAAATTTTTATTTTTAAAACATTTTTTCATAGTAATTAGATTTCATCCTATGGGTTTGTAACAAAAAACATGTTACTTGCAATTAAATGAGGCGAAACTAACTTTCTCTTGATGTAGAAACTTTAACGCCTGAATAATCTGTTTTATCAGTGGTGCGCCTGCAAATCTACCGGGCATAATGGTGTTGTCAGCTGTTAACAGTGGTTGATATCTGGGCGATCTTGTTTATACATCTAGACGTAATGATGCATTAGGGACGGTTTGCAAAGTTAGAGTTTTTGCAAACTTTACACAGTTTTTTTAAACTTACTACACAAACTCACACAATATCTTAATAAATGTCTATTCTGTGGGTGTATGCGATGGGAAACTGGGGATGTCTGTGAATTACATGCCTGAAACCATTATAGCTGACATTTCCAATTAATTTAAAAAGAGTAGTTCCACTGTAGCAGAGAGAGCACTACAACTGCGAAAATATATAATTGAAAAGATTACTCTAACCAAACGTCCGATGGCTCCATGAAACTTGAACGTAAATCAATGCTATCGATTGGTCTTTGATCTTATTGTTGCAATTTCTCTCACCTGTCAACAAATTAGTTGATTGCTTATTGCCAGGCCTGTTTAATAATGTAAATATGGTCATGGTAATCCTGGGGCTGCTGCCACGAGCAGTGCTGCAGGGGTTAATGTAGCGCGCTTGGATTTCACTAGTCTGGTAAACATCCGTCAAATCGTGAATAATACAGCAGTGATAATGTTTGACACCAATATGCACTCTTCTCGTGTTAAAATATGCATGGAATTATTATTGTACCGCTTTAATCTATGCCCTCGAACGTCAGTGAACCCTTACTGCGTACAATCTGCAAATGCATGTAGGTACACTAAAAAATTCATGTTTAATCTTCGCACAACCATTTCGAGGGGGTCGTGATAGGTAGCTTCTGCGGTCCATGCCTAAGAAATTATCGTCATTGATCTACTATTGATAGGTTACTAACCAGTGTTGTAGGTCTCGAGGCCGGTCTTGGCCTCGAGACCGGCCTCGAGACCATTTTCCTTGGTCTCGGTCTCGGTCTTGGCTTCGGAGTGCAATGACTCGGACTCGGACTCGGACTCGGGGTGTGCGGACTCGACTACAACACTGCAGCTAATACAGTGTATACGCGCATTACATACATTGTATAAATCGACAAAATGAGGACTTACGCGTAAGTCGTCATTTTCCTAAGTCGACACAAATATACTGGTCCCAAAAGTGTTGACTTATGCAAGTTTTACTGTACTTTCTATTTCATGCAAACAAGTGACAGATCCAGGGGGCAGAAGACACCCCCCCCCTCTCCATTTTTGAACAAACACATGCATAGAAGTGAGTGGCCTTGTCGGTCTGTGCCCCCCTTTTTTTATCAAAACTGTACTCGGACTCGGACTCGGACTCGGGTGGCATGGACTCGGACTCGGACTTGGGTGGCACGGACTCGGACTCGGGGGGTGCGGACTCGGACTCGGACTCGGGTGGCATGGACTCGGACTCGGACTTGGGTGGCACGGACTCGGACTCGGGGGGTGCGGACTCGGACTCGGACTCGGGTGGCATGGACTCGG